GTTTCCGTGCTGCTGAGGTTTTGTTCATGAAGTCTTTTCCTATGCCAATGTCTTCAAGAGTTCTACCTAACTTTTCTTCCAGTAATTTTAGTGTTTCTGTCTTAATATTTAGATCTTTAATCCACTTCGATCTTAGTTTAGTGCATGGTGATAGGTATGGGTCTAGTTTTAATCTCTGGCAGGCTGAAATTCAGTTTTTCCAACACCATTTATTAAATAGGCTATCTTTCCTCCACTGAGGGTGGTTGGCTCCTTTGTCAAAGATGAGGTGGCTGAGCATGTCTGGAGTTTTTTCTGGATCTTCTAATCTATTCCGCTGATCCTCAGGACTGTTCCTTTGCCAGTACCATGCTGATTTTATCACAGTAGCTTTGTAGTATAGTTTCAAGTTGGGGACTGTGATACCCCCAGCTATGTCTCTGTTGCTTAGAATTGCTTTAGCTATTCTAGGTCTCTTATGGTACCAAATGAGTTTTTGGATTGTTTTCTCTAGTTCTGTGAAGTATATTTTTGGAATTTCAACTGGCATTGCATTGAATCTATGTAGTAGTTTTGGAAGTATGGCCATTTTCACTATATTGGTTCTTCCTACCCAGGAGCAAGGGATGTCTTACAATTTTCTTGTATCCTCTTTGATCTCTTTTTTCAGAATGCTGTAATTTTCAGTGTAGAGGTGTTTTGCTTCCTTTGTTAAACTGATTCCTAGATATTTCATTTTTTTGGATGCTTTTATAAAAGGAATTGTTTCCCTAATTTCTCTCTCAGTGAGTCTGTTATTTGTGTACAAGAAGGCTATTGTTTTTTGTACACTCCTAACTTTTCAATTGACATGTAACACATATATACGAAACTGTACAAACCTCAGCAAATTATTGTAAAGCAAATATCCTTGTCACCACCCAAACTCCTCCTCCAATCTCTGTATGACTGTCATCTGCCTGCCGTTAAATCTGACCACTGAGTTCTTAAACTTGGGTAGTCTTCTAGAATTTCTACTTGATTCTAAATCTGTTACTTCATATCTTACAGCTTTAAGTTCTCTGCTGAAATTTATCTCTCTGAAGATAGCAACCACAGGTATTTTAATGTCTATGCCTAAAGCCTGTGGTTCTCCACATTGTCTGCTGTTTACCTCATAGTTCTAGCTCATATGATCTCATTTCTTCTGGTGCCTAGTTTGAAGTATGTGTTCAACACTGCATTTGAAAACAGAAATAATGTGAGGTGTAGAGTAAAACTTCCTTTGTAACCTTTGTAAGGATTTTCACTTACTCCTGTGGGTGAGCAGGGTTCTGAGCTGGACCTGTGCAATGCCTTTAACAGCAGCCATAACACTTGGCAGTCCCACATAATGCATGAGGGTTTACATGTCATCTGCAGTGGCTCTGCACTCCATCTTGCACTGCACTCCATCCATGTTCCTAGACTGTCAGAGATATACTGAGCCTCTTCAAGACAAAATGAGCCCCCAGTAATAGGCTCATGATTTTCATTTCTATCTCCTCAATCTTAGTCTAGAAAGTATCACTCCTTTTTTTACCCCACTGATATTACCAAGTAGTTATAAGTTTTCCCTAAGTTAAACCTTAATAAGGATTTGAAAATAAGAATGAAAGAGCCAGGTATGGTGGTGTACACCTGTAGTCTCAGCACTCTGGGAGGCTGAGATAGAAGGATTATAGCCTAGCCTGGGTAATTCAGTGAATCAGTGAGATCTATCTCAAAAAACAAAACAAAACAACAACAAAAAATATATATATACACATACATATAATAAAGGGGATATAAATCAGTGTGAAGGCTCTGGGTTCAATCTCCAGTATTGCAAAAAAAACCCCTCAAAAGCCAACAGACTAAAGAGCAGGAATGCAGTAGAGAAATTAAAGGGAGAAGAAAAAAGAAGTACAAAGAAAACGCAGGAGACAACAAAGCAAGGGCACATTACTACAGAACTCTAGGTGGTCCATACAGCTGGACCTTAATGTACAAGAACAGGAGAAGATGCAGAAAGACAGGCTGTTGCTATGTGTAGAGCAAAAGGACAGGATAAGGAGTCTCCATCCCTAGCTCCAGGCTCATCCAGCAAGGTGGTTATGGCATTAGTGCCCAGGCCAGTCCCTGCAGAAGGTCCTGAGAGCCAGCTCACTCACCAGCAGGAAGGGGGCCTCTGGACAGTAACAGGGCTCCACTGCAGAAGTGGAGGTCGGTAAGCAGAAGGAGGCCAATTCCCATTCAGTCTCTGCTTTCCACATTTTGATCAATCCTTGGTTGTCTGTGGTGACAAAAAGTTGCAGCTGAGGATACGTCACCAAATTTTTCAGAGGAACAGGCTGCCAAGGGCTGGACCAGATCTCTGTGCCCTGTCAACAAAAAGCATATATTATTTTCATGCATCCAACCAGCATACATTTGCCTGTGTCTACCCTACCATGCTGCACAGTACACATGGGGGCTGACAGAGGAAGAGGATGTGACCTCAAACAGTAAAGATAGATGTGTCCTAGAAAAAGCAAGAGCCCAGCTAGGGTCTGCAAAGACCTGAAGTCTGAGTGGCATTGCCAGCAGCTCTAAGGGGTTTGGGGCACTCACAACACAGGATACACCTGAAGCACTTGCAGTGGGTATCCAGGGTTTCAATGGAAGGAGAAGGAGGGTAGAGACTGACAGGGAGGCCAGATGCAACACAGCCACACCAAGTGGTTGCACAATGTACTCAGTCACCTGAGGACTTTCATGCCTTTTCACCTGACTCTAGTAGCCCAGTTTCAGTGACAGTTTATGCTGCACAGATGGCAGCTGCCCTGCTTAGGAATATGGCCCAGTGGTGTTGCCATAGGCCAGCCCTCGCCAAGGCCTATCCTCACAAACAGCTGATCCAGAAGAGGACTGCTGCAAGCTGACTCTCTGCCATGGTCTCCCCTGGTATTTTAAAAGTGGGAATGGAGAGGTAGAGAGCCTGTTACCACAGAGCCCACAGTGCACCAAGACAGGGTGTTACCATGAACTCACAGACTGCAGCCCCACAATTCCCAGGCCTGCATGGTGAGGTTTCTTCTCAAATTTAAGCCACTATAATCTCTTTTGTATCATATTTTATCCCAGTCTATTTTTCTGGCCATATCTTAGTACTTCTCTATTAGCATACCACACACCCCCGTCATTTGATTGCTCTTGCTTAAAAGCAGCTAATACGACTCAACTAGTACCAACCTCAGCACTAGTGACTAGGGTGATGATAAGTGACTCTTGGAGAAATACAGAAAGTTTACAAGTGATTAGTGCTATTGTAATGGGCAAAAAGCAGCAAAATTCTCCTGTTTCTGAACAAAAAAGCAGCAGCCAGTAAACAATGTGTTGTAGTGTGGTAGCTAATTTCTGCCTAGGGTCCCCAACTCCAGGGCCCTCCCAAGGGAATGGAATGCTGGGTGGAGAGACACAAGGACTGTGGGGGCTGCGGGGAGAGGGATGCTTCTGCTAGTATCTGATACTATGTGTCTAGAAAGAGGCAAGCTCAACCCCTAGAATTTTCCAGCAGTCAGAGAACAAAACATAATGTGGGAAACTAAAAAAAAAAAATCAATGTGCAATTGAATATTGTATTCTTTTTTTTTTTTTTTCGTACCAGGGATCAAACTCTGGACCTTGTGCTTGTGAAGCAGGTGGCAGCAACATTGAGCTAAATCTCCAGCCCTGAAATTGAATACTATGTACACAGAAAATTAAGAAATATTTAGAAAATATCATGACATCAGGGGCAACAAAAGGTTATGCCAGGAGGAGGATGAAATGGTGATAAATGTATCTAATGGCCTAGCTGGGAAAACCATTTAGATTAATAATTATAATAATATAAATAGTGAATGTTGACCCAAACAATTTGCCATTATTTCAGTAAAGTTAAACCTGTGTGGAGGAAAAGCACTGTCACTCGCCACCAAAGTCAACAGATATCTAATACATTAGATGCCTACTTATCCCTCTGAGAACCTTCTTTCCTCTATGGAAACAGGAGTGGAACATGATTGGTTTTTTTTTTTTTGATACTGGGATCGAACTTGAGACTTTGTGCTTGTGAGGCAGGCGGCGGAACCACTGAGCTAAATTCCCGGTCCAACTGGTTTTTAAAACATCATTTAGGTGGGCTTTGCTTCTCTTTTTGTAGTGCTGGGATTAAACCTCTGGCTTCACATATGCTAGACAAGCACTCTACCACTGAGCTAAACCCAGGGCCTCCTCTTAGAGCTCTCTTTTAAACTATGGAGAACTGCAATGTAAGTAGTAGCATCTTCATTTCTATCACTTAAGTGTAAGGTAACTGCAAAACATTGCTGTGGTTTTAATTATGCCCTTCAAAATTACTGTCATTAATTTTATAAATAAACAAATATTTTAAAACTCTGACAGAAACTCAGAATGGCAGCAGAGAGAGAGGAGCAAAGTACACTGGAACTGATCCCCAGCTCCCTGGTGGGGTGGCCATATTGCTGGGAGAAGATAGCAGGAAGGGTGTAGACTGGCAGTCCTACTAGAGAATCTAGCTTCACAAGCTTTGAACCTGCTCTGTGGAGCTGTCTCAGGTTCATGTGATTTTGTTGCTCTAGAACTTATGAACATTACCCCCTACTCCTAGCACCACTTGCTACAGCACGGGGCTCTCTTGGAAATCCAGCCACTGCTGGATTCCATCTTGCTCTAGTCTAGTAAGGGGTCCAGCATCATGGCTGTTGCTGCCAGAAACCATTGGTGAGCACTAAGGACAAACCCCATCACAGCCTGTGCCCCTGTGTTGTGGCTGTCACCAGCACTCTCACTACTCATTTTTTTTTAGTACTGGGGATTGAACTCAGGACCTTGCACTTACTTGTAAGGCAGGTGTGGTGCCACTGGGCTAAATCCCTGGCCCTACTACTTATTTCTGTAGGTCTCCACTTTGGCAGCCTAAGCCCACTGTAAAATCATCTCATAGCTAGAGAAATTACGTGGAGGCTACACTTCTGGGCTGACACCCTAAGCACTTATTGACACCCTATATCCATCTAAACAAAACAAACAAATCTTTCCCTGTGAAAGCTACTCTATAAAAATGGAAGCAGCAACTATTAAACCAGATGTGCAGACATCAACATAGGGACACAAGAAGTATGAAAAAGCAAAGAAGCATGACATCTAAAAAAGACACCATCATTCTCCAGAAACACTCCAACATAAAGGAAATCTATGAGATTCCTCAAGAGGAATTAAAAATGATTCTAAGGAAACTTAAGGAGATGCGAGAGGAAAGAGACAATGAGGTGAGAAAATGAATTCATGATCTGAATGAGAAATTCAGCAGATATAAATTGTAGAAAGGAACGAAACACAAATCTTAGGTCTGAAGAATTCAATCAACCAAATAAAATTTAAAACCAACCAAAATAGAATTGAAGCCTTCAACAGACCAATCAGAAGAAATAATTTCTGAACTTAAAGACAGATCTCTGGAGATAAATCAGTCAGGAAGGCAGAGGGGTGGGCAAGAAAAAAGCATTACAAAAAAATAAAGAAAGCTTACAAGACTTATGGAACACCATTAAGTAAACATGGGCATTTGAGGGTGTCTTAGTTATTTTTCTCTCACTGCTATGAAAAAATACCTGACACCAAAAGTTAAAGGGGGAAAGGTTTATTTAGCTCACAATTCATAGAGGTTTCAGTCCATAATCAGCTGGCTCCAAGGCAGGGTGACATGGCAGACAGGGATTGCAGAGGAGAAACGGTTCATGGCGGGCAGAAGATAGCAAAGCAACAAGGGATGACCACAGCTCTTTCTGTCCCTTATCTCTTATCCAGGATACTTAGGGCAGGTAGCACTCACACCCTTAATAGTGTCCTTCATCCCAGCATTGCACCATGAATCAATTCCAGCACCACACACTCTAGATCCAGCCACCCCTGAAAAAGCCCCATCTAGGACTGCAAGAGGCTTTGGGGGGACATCTAAACACAAGCCATCTAACAAGGGATATTGCAGGTACAAACTATAATACCAGACAAGCAAAACAATTGAGGGAATTCACCACCACTAGATTGGCCTTACAAGAAATGTTTGAAGGAGTACTATGCCTTAAAATGAAAGGATAAGAAATACCACTACGAAAAAATATGAAAGAATTCAACTCACTGGTAAAACAGACACACAAATGAAAAAGAGAAAAGAATCAAATTATTATTACTATAGAAAACCACAGTGATAAAATAATAAGAGGTATAGAAGGGAACAAATAATATACAAAACAATAAGAAATCAATTAAGAACATGGCAGGAGCAAGTACTTTTTTATGATAAACCTGAATGTAAATAAACTGAATTATCCAATCAGAAACTGATTCAAAACAAGCAAGATCCAATGATATATTGCCTATAAAAAACTCACTTCACCAGTAAAGACTAAAGGTGAAGGGCTGGAAAAGACATACCACAAAAATAGAATCTAAAAAGCAAGCAGGAGTTGCTATACTCACATCAAATAAAAGGGTCTTTGAGTCAAAAGCTATAAAAACAGGTCAAAGAACCCATTAACCATGAAGGTATAAAAATTATAAACACATACAAACCTATGACAGAGCACTCAAATATATAAAACAAATACTAGATCTATAGGGAAAAACTGCAATACAGTAGGAGTTGGAAACTTCAAAATCCCATTTTCACCAAAGAACAGATCATTCAGACAGAAAATCAATAAAGATACATCAGAGTTGGGCCAGGGATTTAGCTCAGTGTTGCCACCTGCCTCACAAGCTCAAGGTTCCAAGTTTGATCTCCAGTACCAAAAAAAAGATACATCAGAGTTGAACTGCATGTACTATAGTGCAAATAAGCCTAAAAGACACAAAACATTCCATTCTACAGCTGAAGAATACACATTCTTCTTAGGGTTGGGGATATAGCTCAGCAGTAGAGTCCCTACCTAGTATGCACAAGGCCCTAGGTTCAATCCCCAGTGTCCCCCCCATATATACACACACAGAAAGAATACACACTGTTCTTAACAGAACATAGAACATTCTCCAGATAGACCATACTATAAACCACAAATCAAGTCTTAAGAACTACAAAAATATTGAAATGAAATATAATCTTCTCTGACCACAAGAAAACCTGAAAACAACAACAACAAAATGGAAAATATACAAATACATGGAACCTGAACAAGCAATGAGACACTGAAGAAATTAAAAGGGAAAAACAAATGAAAAAGAAACCACAATACATCAAAATCTGTGGGATATAGCAAAAACAGTAATCAGAGGGAAATTTAACATGCCTACATCAGAAACTAGAAAGATTTCAAGCAGGGCATGGTGATGCAAGTCTGTAATCACGGCACTCTGGAAGGCTGAGGCAGGAGGATTACAAGTTTGAGCCAGCCCGAGCAACTTAGCCACTTAGAGTGACCCTGTAAATAAAAAATATTTTTAAAAAGGACTGGGAATGTAACTCAGTGTGAAGGCCCAGAGTTCAAACCTATAACAAAACAAAATCCAACCTAGAAAGATTTCAAAGAAGTTACTTATGTACCTTAAGGACCTAGAAAGCAAAAATAAATGAAACCCCAAATTAATGGAAGGAAAGAAATACAAAGATCAGAGAAGAAATAAATCAAGGCTTTAAAAAAATTAGGTCTGGGATTGGTAAAGTACTTCTCTAGCATGTGTGAGGCCACAGGTTCAATCCTCAGTACTGGGAAAAAAATCAAATGAAAATGAAGTTTCTTGGAGATGAAACTGACACCCTTACGTAGACTAACAAAAAAGAAAACTCAATAAAATTAGAGATGAAAATGGATACATCACAACTGATACTACAGAAATACAAGGGATTGTATTAAGGAATTATGCTAACAAATTGGAAACTTACAAGAAATGGGTAAATTCCTGAAAACATACATCTATCAAGACTGAATCAAGAAGAAATAGAATATCCAGACAGACTTAACCAGCAATGAAAGTAAAAAAATTACTATCCAAGAAAACTCCAGGAACTGACAGCTTTAGTAATGAATCCTAATGAATATTTAAAGAACTAATTTCAATTCTGAACTAATTCAAGTAACTGAAGAGGAGGAAACTGCCAAATTTGTTCTACATGGCCAGTATTACCCCTGACCAAAACCAGACAATGACACATGTACAGAACAACTACCCCTGATGAATGTAGATGCAAACATTCTCAATTAGCACACCAAATTCAAGAGGATGTTGTGCATGTTAAGCAGGCACTGTGCCACTGAACCACACCCCCCACCCAGGTATTTATTAAAACTAAACTGCTCGGTGAAGTTTACCCAAAAAAATACCCAAAAGATTAAAATCTCTGAGATAACCAAGCTGGTGGTATGTAATCCCAGTTATGCAGGAGAATCAGAATGCAAATTCTAGATTGTCGAATACTTTTCCCATTTCTGAGAAAGAATACCCGACATCCAAAGTTAAATTAGGAAACCTGAAAATTATTTCAGCTCATAGTTTGCAGAGGTTTTAGTCCATAGTCAGCTGGCTCCAAAACAGGGTGGAATGGCAGAGCGGGATGGCAGAGAAGAAATAGTTCATGGCAAGCAGGCAGGAGACAGCAAAGCAATAGGAGCAGCAAATAGAAGCAGCAGAAGAGAACATGCTTTTCTCTTTTATCCTATCCAGCATACAACCCTTTTGGGTGGTGCTGGTTACACCCAGGGTGGGGCTTTGTCTTCAGTAAATCCATTCAGCCACACCAGAACTATCTTAATTCCAATCACTGGACTAATTTAGCACCACACACCCTTAATCCCAGCATTACGTGTTAGATCCAGCCACCTTCCAAAAGCCCCATTTATGAGTGCATGAAGCTTTGGGGGGAGGGCTAGATACAACCCATAGCAACTTAGAAACTCTGCCTCAAAATGAAATTTTTAAAAGGTTGGAGGTGAAAAAAAAATGTTGAGGTTGAAGATCTGTGGTAGAGCATGCATAAAGACCTGGGTTCAATTCCCAGTGCCACAAGACAAAACTCAGCACAGCCAAACAAAATAAAAACACGGAGAAACCTTAAATGTATGTTGCTCTATCAAAGAAGCCATTCTGAAAAGGCTACACATTATGATTCCAATTGTCTTAGTCCATTTGCACTCCTGTAACAAAATGCCTGAGACTGTTCGCAAAGAAAAGAAATTTATTTTCTCTGGCTAGGAAATCTGAATTCAAAGCACCAGCATGTTTGGTTATCTGGGGAAGGTCTCTAGAAGGATGAAGGTGACATGTGGAAGGTGGAAAGGTCAGAGTAGGAATTCCCAGTATCAATCTTCCACCCCTTTTGTTCTGCAATCCTGGGGATTAAACCCAGGACCTTCACACTGAGCTATGTATATCCCCAGTTCTTTTTTATTTTGAGATAGGGTCTTATTAAGTTGCTAAGATGGCCTCGCTAGGCTTGAATTTACGATCCTCCTACTTCAGCCTCTCAAAGTGCTGGGATTATAAACATGTGTAATCTTTTTCATTAGGGTACCTTATTCCATACATAAAGGCAGAGGCCTCCTGGGTTAATCACCTCTCAAAAGGTATGACTCCCAATCATGTTGCCCTGAGGATTAAGTTTGACATAAACTTTGGAGGGCACAAAAAAATTCAACCAACTGTACAACTTAATTTTTAAAAAAGAAAATAAGGTTAGTTTCCTCATGAAAGATATAAGGGTAGGAAGCCAGGCAAAATGGCATGTAGGGCCTCTGGCACTCTAAAAATGTCCCACACTGGGAATAATGAAACACACTAAAGTAGGTTTTGGCAAACCTATGCCCTACAGCCAAACCGACTCTATTTTTTGTCTGTAAGGTTCTTCCACCCATTTTTATATTTTTGAAAAAATAATTTTATTAAAAATTTTGAAAAAATTTTACACATGAAAATTTCACAAAATTCATATTCCACTGTCCATATTTATTGGAATATGGTCACTCTCATTTGTTTCCATATTGTCTATGGCTGCTTTTGTGTCAGCACAGTTAAATAGTTGTGACAGACCATCTGGCCTGAAAGGCCTACAATATTTACTATCTAGCACTTTATAGAAAAAGTCTGTTACCCACCCCCAATCAAAGCACTTCTCTTTCAAATAAAGACATTTCTGTTATGGCAACTGTGGAAAGTGCTAGCTCTCAAGGCCCGCTACCCAACATCCCCTAAAGCCAAGCTTGCTGTGGCCACAGGTCGACAAGCAGGTCTCTCAGGAGAGATGACCCTATGGGGAGTAAGGGTGGATCTGAACCCTGAACACAGTTAGGTCTCTGAAACACTCAACAGCTCTGGTCAGTGGTCCCTCACTCACCTGCTGTGGCTAAGTGCTATGTTCACTTGGAAGGTACTTATCACCTGCTAGAGGCAACATCCACTTCCAGTAAACCTAATGAACAGTGAGATAAGCACTCACTTACCCAGAGATTATTTACATAACAAAGTAAGGTACCAGGTTTAGGGGTGTAATTCAGTGGCAGACCACTTGCCTAGTAGATGTAAGGCCTGAGCAATGCCACCAAAATAAGACACTAAAGGTGCCTTTGTTTGATGAGGGCATCAAAAAATGTGAAGTAATATAATTTCTAGGAAAAATATTCATCATAGGAGATTGGGTTTCATCTGTGTGTGGCCCCAGGCAGAACTCCTGGACTTGTAGACCAGAAGGTTCAAGTTTCAGGGATACATTCCTTCCCTCAGTCTCAGCTTATATATTTTTTTTTCAGCTTATATTTCTATAAAGTTAGGATGATAATAATGAATACTTTGTTTGGCTGCTTTAAAGAGATAAAACATATGAAAACTGAAAACTTTGTTACTATACGTGAGAACAAAGTTTAAAATGTTAATCATATTATCCGGGTTTGCACACATGGGTGACCACAGCTGTAATTATCTTGATAAAACTGCCAGGGGCCAGCATCAGTTCAAATGTGGAGTTACATGACTGAGTGGTTTCAGGTCAAGGCCCAGTGCTGCCACTGTGAAAGGGGGAAGAACAGCGTAGCAGCTGCCACCCCAGGTATTGCTGTGAAGTCTGTCTCCCTGAGCAGCACAGCAGGAGGCCAGGAAGTTGTCCTGTGAGACTGGCTCCACTAAAATGTTCACCACAGGTTCACTCAGTGCTTGGTGGTAGTATGGTGACTGAGCCTCTTGCAAGCTCGTATTTCTCATCTACAATGAGGGGCTCCCACTCCCTTATCTCAGAAGTTTTCTAAAATAACTGGATAAGACCAAGTACAAAGTAAGAATTTGGTCAATCTCATCATCACCTTCCCTTTCTAAGGGCCAGCTCACCTCATGCAAATCCCAGGCACGCACAGTACAGTCTGAGGACAGAGTACAAATCACAGATTTCTCCCTTCCATTGAACCAGTACTCATTGGTTGAAATGTAGGCCAGCTGCCCTATGTATCCTATAAGAGAGGCAAGATAGATGGTCTGTGATCTGAACACTCAACTGGTGAATGAGTCAAGATTTTTTTTTTTTTCCGGTACCAGGGATTGAACTCTGGACCTTGCGCTTCCAAGGCAGGCACGGTGCCACTGAGCTAAATCCTGGGCCCTTCAAGTGGTGAAGAGAGTTGGCAGAAAAACCATTCTTCTTTCTCTAGCTCAGGAACACAATGGGCACTTACTCAGGGGACACTAACATAGGAAAGAACTGGAGGTTTTGAGATATAATGGGGTTCTACTCCCAGGACTGTCCATCATCTACTAGTCACATGACTGTGAATGACTCCTGACTCTTAGTTTCTGTTTGTTTGCTCTGAAACATGTAATGGTCCCTTCTTCACAGGTTATTGTGAGGCTCACATAACAAAACACAACATAGAATCAGGCCATATATGTACTCGGCAAGTGGCACTTTCCAAGTCATTGCACAAATGCCACGTCCCTTGGACTCACCCAGGGAGAGCATGAGCAGAGTGGGCATAGCTACTACAATCCCCTCCTTGTACCTCTATGCCCAGCAATTGCTTTGCAGATGCAGTCCTTCACGGGTCACCCAGATGCCACTCGGAACTCCAGCTCAGACTGGCAGAGATAGTACTGTTTCCATGTTTGTGTGCCCAGGACCATCCAGGAGGCTTTGCAGAAGGACCAGCGACTCAGACACAGATGCCTGAAAAAGAGAACCACAATCTGGCACGATATAGCTGTCATGGATTTTGGAGCTAGGTCTAGCTTTGAATCCCAGCTTTGCCATTTACTGGCTTTCAAACCTTGGACAACTCTCATTACCTGTCTAGGTCTCAACTTCCTTTCCTGTAAAATGGGGAAAATGATTAACATTGAATGATTGCTAGCTACCTGTCAGACATGCACTACTCTCTTACATATCCAATTGACCTTCATAACAACTCTATGAAATAGGAGTCTTCATTCTACACATGAGGACACAAAGGCAGAGGTTAAGCAATGGGATTCAAACGCTAAGTTTTTTTCAATAGCCAATTCTTATTGTTGAATTACTCATTTCTCCCTTCAGTTCTAACAGCCTTCTATGTTTGTTGTTGTTACTCGGGCATACTCAATTGTCATATCTTCTTGATAGATCAATTCATTTAGCATTACATCCTTCTTCATCTCTAGTAACAGTTTTTATATTTGTCTATTTTTATCTGCTAGTAGGATGGCCACTCAGCACTCTTTTGGTTACTAGTTACTGGTGTATCTTTTTTCATTCTTTTATTATTATCCTATCTGTGTCTTTGAGTCTAAAGTATATCCCAGAGATAAGGTTGTAACCCAGTGGTCAAGCACTTGCCTAGTATGCATGAGGCCTTGCACTTGAGGCACAATACTGCAGAACAAATAAAATATGACTTATGTAGACAGCATGAAAGTGGATGATTTTTTTCACCAATTCTGTCAGCCTTTGCCTTTTTGTTGGAGTATGAAATTCATATACATTTAATGTAGTTACTGCAAAGATAAAATATATGTATGTCATTTTACTATTTTTTAAGTCTTCCATCTTTTCCCCCTCTGTTCCTCCATGATTGCCCTCTTTTGTGATAAATATTTTTTTCATTTAATGTTAAAGACATTGCCATCCTGAGTAAGATGAAGATACTGTGAAAAAGCTTAGGCTACATACCTGTTAAACCTTACAAACTTAATACTACTTCTAATTTATCACTTTTTTACTATTTTAATTCCCTTGTCAATCTTCTACCATATTTTTGAGTTACTTTTTAGTGGTTGACTTGGAGATCAGAATTTAAATCTTAACTTTAAAAATCCAGTTCTGATCAATACCAATTTATTTTCAAAAGTATATGAAACATTTGGTCTTACATAGGTCCAGTTCCTCCCTGACTTTGTCCTACTGAGACTAGGAGATAGAGGAACAGGCAAGGGCCTGAGTGAACTGAGTAAATTAAGGCAAGGTGAGATAAGCCTCAGAAAGTTGGAGTGCAAAGAACACAGGCCTAACTGGAGCCCCAGTGACAAAGGACTAATGAAATCTGCTGAAGACAAGACTAGCAAGCAGGGGCAATTGCATATCTTCATTTTCCCAAGTCCATTTGCCCTTTCCCATGCCAAAGACTACATATAAACCTCAAGATTTAGATGCTTCAGTGGTATCCTCCATTGTAACCAGCTCTCAACAAGCGAGAGCTTTCCTTTTGTTCTAATGAACCACACCTGGTCCTTTCCTCACTGCTGTCCTGTTGGCTTCATTCTTCCTTCACCTTCAGGACAAGAGCCCAGAGGGAGAGATTTGGTTACAGTAATATTGCTCTTTAGTACTTCCTCTGGCTTCAAGTTTCTAAATTCCAGAACAAAGCAGCAGCTTATAATGTTATGGGAGTTGTGCTCAAAGAAAGTTGGCATTTGCTTGGAAAGGGCTGGGCGGGGCGGTGTCAGATGGAGGCTTTCAGCACTTAGGATACACTGGCATCCTCTGGCTCAGGTGAGATGGGGAATAACTGGTCCACACTCCTTGTTCTAAACAGGTACAACATAACCTGTCTCTGCCATCATATCCTATGCACTCACTGGGCAACTACTTCTCAGGCTGTGCCAGGTACTGAAGAGCTTCTGACTCCATGGGAAGGATTCCAGAGCCCATACGGGAGGACCCTGTGGGCAGAGAGGGCCTCTAGTCCTCCCAGGTTATTTTCTTTGTGTGTTTAAGACTGACTCACATGAAGTAGCTTCCAATATATAAAACTTGGAGGATTTTACAGAACAATCACAAGGCATGACTTCAGACTAAAAAATTCAGCAAAAATACTATAGAAAAGTAACAAACTGAAAATCCATTAGTGACGTGGCCTACAGAGAGTGGAATAGCTTGCACAGGAACCTACTCTCTGGAGGGTATGCAATGTACTGAAGAGAATTTTTTTTTTTTTTTTTTTTGGTACCGGGGATCGAACTTGGGACCTTGTGCTTTCGAGGCAGGCAGCAGAACCACTGAGCTAAATCCCTGGCCCTGAAGAGAATTTTTTTGAACATCTCAAAGAAAGATATATTTCACAAAGCTTTTGTACACAGGGAGGGAAGGGGGCTTGGGGGGGGAAAGGGTTAAATAAAATAAAATTTATTTTTAAAAAAGAAATATATATTTCATTCAGAGGGAAAAATCCTACCCTGGCTTATCAGTAAAGATGAGAACAAAGGCTAGTGCTCACTCTATCGGCACATATCCTAAAACTGGAAAACAAAGACTAGAGCCTGCATAGGAATCTCACTCAGGCAAACAGTTCATTCAATTTCTTACAGAAACACACTTGGCAAGACATAACCTTGTTCACTTACCTACAGAAAAATTTCTTCCAGAACCAAATGTTACATCAAATTGCAGATTAAATTCTAGTGAAAGTTCTCTTATATCAAAACTAACTAAAAAGATTATTTTTCTAATTAATATTAGTAATAAAAAGCAACAAATCGAATAGTGCTATGTAACACTACAAACTACATATGGTTAAGACTGGCATTCCCAAATTCTCAAATATCTTAAGGCATAGTTATTCTAATAATAAGAATAAAGATTCCTCCATGTTGTGTAGAACCTTCACGTGTGAACAGGTGTTTTCCACCATGAGCGACTACAATTAATTATAACACCTTCTCAATAGTCAAGGCTGTACTGTATTCAGCAAGAGCTAAGAGTTTGGACAGGTCTTTTTTCCCCCTCCTTGTCTTTTTCCAGTTTCTGGTAGTTAATTCTTGTTACAAAAGAAAATATGTCAGATTCTAAAGGAGGAGTAAGTTAGAAAAATTTAGTAATTTAATGATTAAAATGTTCTGTATTTTCTTTTTTAAAAATTTATTAGTACATTTACAGTACATAATGGTTACATTTACTGTGAGGAGTTGGTACACGTACCTAGTACATCTTAACAATGTTACTTGCCCTTCCCTTCCCTCCATCTCTAGATCCCTTCCCCATGTGCAAAAGATCTACCTCCCTGGTTCCTATGATCTATCTTTTATTTTGGTCTTTAAATGATTTATACTCTGGGTTTCTCATATAAGAGAAACCATGTGGTATTTAAGCTTGTGTGTCTGATTTCACTTAATATTACGGTCTCAAGGTGCACTTATTTCCCCACTAATGGCTCAAATTTTTTCTTCTTTATGGCAGAGTAATATTTCATTGTATAATTTTCTTTATCCAAAAAATGTTTTATGCTTTGTTTCTTTCTGCTTTGTAAGTTCTAGCTTATATACTCATATTGCTATGCTGTTATACCAAAGCTGAATTAAAAATAATTAGATTATATTTCTGTGGATTTGGCTTGTCAGCCAAGTGCATTCATTTGCTGTCCACTTTTGCCCCCAGACGGTGGTAACTACCTTCTATCACTATTCCAACTGACAGTCTCATGTCCCTAACCAGAAAGGAGTTTCCAGGTGATACAGGCCAGGAATAATCCTTTCTATGCACTCAAGACAGCCAAAAGTGCAGAGTGCCCAGAAGATTTATCCAGTGCACCCATACATCCCCAATTCTTTTTTTAATTTTTGAGATAGGGTCTCACTAAGTTTCCAGGCTGGGCTCAAACTTGCAATCTTCTTGCCTTAGCCTCTCAGAGTGCTGGGATTATGGGAATGCAACACCATGCCCAGCTGCACTTTTAAACTTCCTTTACTCACCTCCACAATTCCTTGGTCTGTGAAACTTCATTCCAGACCTAGAACAAGGAGGGAGACAATATCTGATCAGTCAACAGGCAGCACCTAGTTTGCCAAGCCCTGTGAAGGGGACAACGAGCTAAACCAGACCCAGACCAAACTTAAGAAAACTCACCATGGGGAATTAGACACAAATCTGGACAATCAGACAAAAACAATCAAATGCATAAGGAGAGACTCAGAGGGGGTCAAGACGGATGGTTGGGGGGCTCAGAGAAGGGATTGGTGATCAAATTTCAAAGGATGAGTAGTTGTTCTCTACGAGAATGGCAGAAGCATTATTGGGAGAGACCAAACAGCTAGGCTACTAGAATTCCTAAGGGTGAAAAAGATGTGTAATTGGTTTAATCAGAACATAAAGTTCTGGTTGGGGAGAAATGGGAAAAGGAGCAGAAGATTGGCTTAGACCAATTCCCAAAAGTCTTAGTGGCAAAAATAATGAGAAACTACCTGAGAACTTTGCAGAGAGGAGCAGCAGGGTCAAACTGTTTTAGGAAGATGGCTCTGGCTGCTGTGAGCAGAAAAGACTGGAAAGGAGATCAGAGACCTCATATGAAGGGTGTAGCAATGAATAAGTAGACTAGAGCACAGGCCAAGAGGAGGGCCCAGAGATGCCAAGACTGCAGAATGATGCCAGTCTCCCCAGGGGAGAGTGTTGTGCAGGCCCTGCTCTTGAAAATTCTCCTGCAGAAGTGCATTTAAGAGGCTCAGGATGCTTTCCTAAGTGGAATGGGAATCAGAATACCAGACCTCTTTCCCTCAGGGTCAGGCCTGCCTCCTGCAACTTTCTGGCCTCCCCAGCTAAGTGCTTTGGATTCTGGACCCTAACAATTTCAGCAGACAAGGCTCTACAGCTTTAGGTGGTCCAGCCCTTCAGAAGGTCCACTCCCAGAAATGTGTATTTCTAAGCCTGGCAGAAGCAACTGTGATCCTCTCTGAGCTCAGGCTCCCACTTCCACAGGCCTAATGCATCTCCTAGATCAAAATTTCTTGCCCCTTAAGAGGTCTTTTCAACTGGTAAGGATGTAAAGTTGGTATTTTACAAAACCAAATCAAGCAAAGATCTGAGCATTTTCCTTTTCTAGAGTTTCTAGTTCAAAATTCAACTGAAATCTTTAAGTAACATGCCCTGCAAAACAAATGTTAGCCACCTTTAAGAAACCTGTTAGATCCTGCCCTTCACAATGATATGAGGCAGGAATTATGAATCACATTAGACCTAAGGAGCAACTGACCACGAAAAGTTGGTGCTATCAAAGGGTATAAAGCACCTCTCCTTCAAACCTTGTTCCTCTTAACAGCTACATTACTCCTGTGAAAATAGCCAGGGTACCAATAACAAAGCAGGGCATGACTCTGAGGGTCACCTCTGGCAAATCACTCTCTGATACTCAGTTTCTTTATCACTATAATAGAGGTTAAAATCCAATATTTCACTGAATATATTTAAAACTATCATTATGAATTTGGTGCCCTGGGGCGCGTGAAGGGAGATGCCAGGGCCAACCAACCGGAGTAATGCTAAATTTAAGTGTAACACTCAAAAAAAAAAAAAAAAGTAACATTGGCACAGCGCGGTCCCCAAACGAAACCAAATTCGTTCTGCAAGCTTCCTCCTGGGTTTTCAGTCCTCTAGCGCAACACAAGACACACTTCTGGAGGATGAGGTGGCCTGGCCGTACGCCTGCTTTGGGACACACCAGCGACCACGAGCCACGCCCTCTCCTTGTTCACCTGTGTGGCGCACATAAGGTCTTGGGCCTCCAGGAAGAAAAATACGTGCAGCAGTTCGTCTGGACCCAGCTGCAGAGCCATCTCGCCCAACTGTCGTCCAACTCGCCTCTGGTCTTCCCACTTCCGTCCAGCCCCTCCCAGTAATCCGCCCACCCCACCACACTTCCGCGCGAGCCAATTGCAGTCTTGGTCCGTCCGTACTTCCGCCCCGCCAGGCAACCACCACCCAATCCGGCACATTTTGCCCCGCCAGGGTTAACTACTTGTCGCGAGCAGGTACGCGAGTAAAGAAGACTCGAACTCGGATGGCAGTTTCACACACTTATATCATTATAATTCACTTCTATGCAATTATCACACGACATCAAACAAGACAATATTAAGTCTGCCAATTACCACGTCCTTGTACCTGTACTGTGCAAGTTCTTATGGGAGCGCGACGTTTCCTCCCGTCGGGTCAGGGGGTCCGATCCGTAGACGAAGGGCGTCCAGTCGGCGCTAGGCTGTCCGTCTCTCCGCTGGCCTCGTCCTCTGGTCTCGTCTGGTCGGCGGCGATGCTCCTTCCAGCGGGATCAGGTGCAGGTGTCCCAGTCGGTAGTCAGATCAACAGACTGACTAGTAGACTGGTCGGTGGGACGGATCGTCGACTTGCTTTAGGTCTTCAGCTCCTTTTATACTATTCTAACTGGGCGTTTGTGGTATTGGTTCAGACTTATCACATTGTCCACTTTGGACCACGCCCTGTCCAGTTCGGGGTGCATCCTTATCGATTCCACACTGCTTAAGGTTCTACTTCTATATCTTATGGTTACTATGGTTACATATCACTCACAGCACTCTTAAAGTCACAGCACACTTTAGGGTTACAGCACACTTAGGGTTATACAATTCCATCTTATTTTAAGGTGTTTTCCACACTACTGTCCTGCACGTAATTTATGTCTGGAGCTTCTACAGTCAGCCTGGCCTTGCCCTTTGCCTTGACCTGTACGCGACCCTGTCTCTTACCTTTGCCCTGTCTCTGGTGCCCACGGTCGCCTTGGACAAGAATCTGACCTTGCCCTCATCTCAGGTCCAGCCTTCACTTTAGTTCACATTCACTCTTAGCCTCTGACCGTGGGACTGGCTTTCACCCTTACAATGGCTCACTTATTCTGGCCTTGACACTGACCCTGGACATCACCCCAGATCTAGTGTAAGAGTGAAGTTCAAGTGAAGTATCAAATTCATGGGTTGAGGGTCATTGTCAGGATGAGGGAATGTTCAGGGACAGAATGATGAGGATCAGGTTCCGAGTAAGGGTGAGTATAAGGGTGAGTATCTGATCCAAGGCAAAATCTGTGGCAGGTGAGGGAAGAGTTCAGGACCATGGTCATTGTCAGAATCATGTTCAAGTCAGTGTGAAAGAAGTTTTGGGGCCACCATTAATTTCAAGATCAAGTTAAAGTCAAGATAAATAAGGAGTAATGATCAGAATAGACTCCTGGTCAGGGTTAGTGACAGGGTGAAAGTTAAGTTCAGTTCATGGCCAAGGTAAAGTTCAGGGATAGGTTAGAGTTATGGCTTGTATCTAGATGTTCCCCTAAAGCCTCATATGGTCATATGATGGGGCTTTTCCGAGATGGCTGGATCTAGTGTGTGATACTGGGATAAAGAGGAGGCTTGTTGCTACCACGGCTTCTGCTGGAGCACTTAGCAAGACACTGTCTCAAAAGAAAAAAAATGAAAAAAGGGCTGTCGCTCAGTGTGAAGGTCCTAGATTCAATCCCTATCACAGGGCAGGGGAGTGGAGAGGTATACTTCTATTGCTGCCCTAACAAATCACACAAAGTTAGTGGCTTTTTTTTATTTTTATTTTTTGGTACTGGGGATTGAACTGGGGTCTTTGCACTTGCACAGCAGGCAGCGAAACTGCTGAGCTAAATCCCCAGCCCAGTGTCTTTTTTTTTTTTTTAAGACAAGTTCTTGCTATGTACTTCAGGCTGGCCCTGAATTCACTATGTAGCACAGGCTGGCCTTGAACTTACAGCAATCCTCTGGCCTCAGCCCAAGTGCTGGGATCACAGGTGTGTGCCACCACACCCAGCAAATTTAGTGGTTTAAAACAACACACAATTATGATCTCATATTGTTGATCAGAAGTCTGGTTTGAATCTCACTGGGCCCAAATCAAGGTATTACTTGGGCTGCATTTCTTACTCTATGCTCTAGGAAAGAATTTATTTCCTTGCTCATTATGGTTGTTGGCACAATTCAGTTTCTTTTGGATTTAAGAGTGAGGTTTCCAAATGTAAACAAAGCTTTTGTACATAGGGAGGGGAGTGGGTTTGAGGGAGGAATGGGCTAAAATAAAATTTATTAATACAAAATAAAAAAAATAAAAGGACACAGGTGCCATGGCCATGAAAAAAAAAATAATGAGGTTTCCATTTCCTTGCTGTCAGTAGAGAGCCCTTCCCAGGGCCTAGAGGCCATCTGAATTTCCTGGTTTATGAGCCTCTAATTCCATCTTCCAAGCCATCTTCATCTCTGAAAACAGTCAAGAAAAGCTCTCTGCATGTGATTAGATGAGGCCCACTTGCATAGTCCAGGATACTCTTCCATCTCAGTCAGTACCCTTTACCACTCTATGAACTCCTTTTTGCCAGGGGTATCAGTCCATTTTCTCTTACTGTAACAAAATTCCTTCAAATGGGTATTTAGAAAAAAAGAGAGAAGTCTGTTTTTCACAGTTTTGGAGGCTGAAAGTCCAAGATGGGTGGTACCATGTGTTTGTCTTCTGGAGCTCATAGTGGATGACATCATGGTGAGAACAGGAGAGATCACACAGCAAGACAGTAAGCAGAGGGATTCAGAGGCCAGGCTTCCTCTTTTCTTGTTCTCATAGGAACTAAGAGGGATCCCATAAGAACTACAGTAATCCCTCCTGAGGATTGCACTTCCAGTCACCTAACCACCTTCCATAGGCCCCACTTCTTAAAAGATTTCACCTCCTGAAAATGGTCAGACTGGGGATCAAGCTTCTAGCACATGAAGCTCTGAGGGACACACAAACCATATGCAGACCACAGGACCTTATAAGGCAACATATTCATGGTTTAGCACATGGATGTATTTGGGGGTGATATTATTTTGTCTATCACTATAGGTCAAGGTCAAAGTTAGCATAACAGTTAATGTCTGATTTATGTTCAAGAGCAAGTTGCAGGCTGAGCTCAATGTGAAGATGGATCAGGATTAGAATAATGATCAGCCTCCAGATGAGAAGCCAAGTTCAAGGTATTGATGAGATTAAGGTGTTTAAAGGTGAAGGCCTAGTAAAAGATTAGGGTGAGGAAGTGGCCATGGTCAGGGTCAGTGTCGAGGATCACAGGCAGAAACAGTCAAGTGTCAGATGAACGTCAGATTCAATTTTGAGGTCATGCTGGCGTTAGCATTAATCTGTCAGGCTTAAGGTCTGAATGAAGTTGAGTTCTGAGTGAAGTTTGGCATTAGGATCAGGGTCATACCCAGGATCAAAGTACAGATTAGTTTCAGTGTATGTGTACAATTCAGTCAAGTTCAAGGTCAGAGTGGATGATAGTCATTGTCAAGCTGAGGATTCAGTCTAGGGACAGAGTAAGGTTGAGGGTTAAAGTTAGACTAAGGGTGAATGTCCCATTGAAGATAATGTCCTGAGGGTTCAGAGTCATGATCAGTGTGAGATATGTTTCACTGTGAGGGGCAAGGTCACAGTGAGTGTGAAAGTCAGTTATGGTCAGAGTCATGGTAAGCATCAGGGAAAGATGAGTCAGTGTCAGGGTCATGGACAATTTCATGGATGAGATTAAATTCCAGGTCAAGTGAGACGAGAATGGAATCATGATCTGGGTGAGAAGTCAGTATGAGACCCACTTTCAGGATTTTGCTCAAATTCAAGGTTAAATTCAAGGTCATGTGGTTAAGGTCAAGGTAATGTGTCAGATTCTGGCAAAGCAATGAATGAAGGTGAGGGTATAGGTCAGGGTTAGATCAAGTTTGAGGTCGCCAAGGTCAGGATCAGAGAAGTTCACGTTAAAGTTGTGTCAGGTTGAGTATCAGGTTTAGCTTAAGTCTGAAGATCAAAGTGAGGATCATGTTTAAAGTTAGGGTGGGATTAGGTTTAGGGTCTTCTGGATAGGGTTGGTTAAAGGTCAGTGGACAGGGTGGCTCAGTATCTGGATTGGTGTCAGTGCCACATGAAATTCAGTAAATATTGTCAGTTCCCAAGTCTAGTTCCAGAACAGAATCAGGTTGCCAATCACGTAATCTGTAAGAGTAAAGTTCAAAGTGAAGGTCAAGGTCATTACAAGGTTGAATTTCAGAGTGATGGTCAGGGTTCTTGTCAAGTTCAAATTCAGGGAGTGCAAATATGATCATTTTTAGGCTAAGGTTTATTTTTAAGAACAGAGTAAGGTTCAAGTTCAGAATTAATCTGAGGGTCATTAATTCAGGCTCAGCTTAAAGATCAAGATGAGAGTGAGGGTATGATTTTCAACATCAGGGCTGGGATCAAAACAATGTTTCAGGACAAGGCAGTTTGTGCGTTAGGGTTAATTCAAGTTCAAAGTGAGTGTCGGTCATGGTGTGGATGGGTCAGAAGGTAGGTCATGTTCATGGTCAAGGTCAGGTTCAAGCCCAAGTTAAAGATTAGGATAGGCTAGGGGCAGTAAGAAATTTAGTTAGAATGTCAAAATGGTGAGAAAAGCATAGCTAGTTTGAGGAAAGCCACACTAATAGCCTCTGTACTGGCCTACAAAACCCTGGTCCATGCTGTGGCCAGAGTGGTGGGAAGTGTGACTGCAGTAATTGTTTTTTTCCTCAGATACAGCTGGACTTTAACTTCACATTGATGGAAAGGAAAACCCAAAACTATAAACATAAGAGTTCCTGGAGATCATTAAATAAGAAGGCCTCCTGGTACCATACTAAGGGTGGTCTCCAGTTATTTCCAGGTTCTGCTGCTCCAATTTTGTCTATTTCTACACTTTTAATAGTCTCAACAGTCTGGGTCAAAGGTCAACATGTACTATTAAAAAACATCTGGTAGTTGGGTATTTGTTGGAAGTGGTGAATATGAATTCCATTCTGGGCCGTAAACACCAGACTGAAGCTACAAGAGGCAAAATTTTGGAATGAAGACATTGTACCGACCAACTACAAAAGCATTAACACTTTTCTTCTTTGGATGTGTTCCTCACTAGTGTAGTAGCCAAAGCAACCGTTACCATAGCCACCTATGTGTAGAGCTAAGGGTTGAAACAACCCTGAGCCTTTTGAGATTCTTGAGTCAGATAAGAACATAATGAGCCAGGATAGCCTTTTGAGATTCTTGAGTCAGATAAGAACATAATGACTGCTGGACAAGAAAGTAACATTCCCGGAATTGTAAAAATATAATTGACCTTTTCCCTGTAAAAATAATTAGTCACCTGGTCACGAGGGGAGGAGGGGAGGGAGGCTGTGGGTGATGAAAGAGGATATATAAAGTGGGAAGGAGAAGGCTCTCCCTCTCTTCTCCTTTTCTTTTCTCCCGAATTTGTGTTGTTTTTCTTAATCCTCACCCCTCTCCTCGGGTACTGTTCATCTAGTGATGGCTGGCTCCGTCACGAGTGGCGCCCGAACAGGGACCTGAGAACGGAGGACAAGGTGAAGGACGCCACTGGATTGTGAGCTCGGACAAGTAAGTATGGAGCAGCGATATAAAATATGGGGACTACTAATAGTCGGATGCTGTTCGCTCAGATATTTAAAAAGATGCTCTGTAATCGGGGAGCTAAGGTTGGGCAACAGCAACTGTGTCACTTTTTGGAATTTGTAGAGAAAGTCTGCCCATGGTTCCCCAAAGAGGGATCAATTGATTTGGAACTTTGGACTAAAGTAGGAAAACAGTTACAAGATTATTATGATCAAGAAGGGCCTTCCAAATTTCCTGTTGATGTGTTTAGTCTTTGGGGTCTTATCAAGGAGAGCTTGGATCCTCGTCAGGGGTCTTCAATGGGTAACTCACAAGGAGATGTGGTTGCCTCTAGTCCGGAGGACATCCCGTGCATAGATAGAAAAACTGAGTGCCCTTCTTCTTCAGCCCCCCCCCTTGTGGAAGGTTTAGATGAACCCCTCAACCCCTCTGATGCCATGGATCTGGAGGAGGAGGCGGCTAAGTATAATAATGAGGAATGGCCTCCCTTCTCTTTAATAGCTCTTACTGAAAAAATGAAAGTAAAAGATAAAAAGGATGAATCTGAAAATATATATCCCTCAAATCCTTTAGATATGTTATGGTTTAATTGGAAATGGAAACAAAAAGAACAAGCACTGCTGAAGGAACAGCCACTTCGGCCCAGCATTCTGGCAGGGCTCGACCCTTTTCCTGAGGTTGCCCGCCCCGACCTTCAGTTAGATTCCCCTCCAGTCCCACGACTCTCATCCCCAGCGCTCCGCCCTCTCTCGGCCCTGCAAGCTACTTTACTGGCGGCCGCCGAGAGAGGGGAGGATCTGGCTGGGTTCCAAATGGTCTGTCCTGTTTTTGAGGAACCAGATCAACAAGGGCAAATGGTCCGCGTTCATAGACCTCTTCCTTTTAAACAACTTAAGGAGCTAAAAGTTGCTTGTGCTCAGTATGGCCCTACGGCCCCTTTTACTCAGGCCATGCTCGAGTCTTTAAGCTCGGATGCTCTGCCCCCTGGGGATTGGAAACAAATAGCTAAAGCCTGCCTTTCTGGTGGAGATTATCTATTGTGGAAAACAGAGTTCATGGAACAATGCCAAAAAACGGCTGAACTCAACCGTGCCACCAGTAATAACATTACTTATGATATGTTAGCAGGGGAGGGACAGTATGCTGATATAGCAAATCAATTGTTGTTTCCTGGGGGAGCATATGCCCAAATTAATACAGCGGTAAAACGAGCCTGGCAAAAGCTGCCCATGACAGGACGAGCTTCTGAGGACCTCTCTAAGACCAGGCAAGGTCCCGACAGGCCTTTTCAGGAATTTGTTGCCCGTCTTTTACAGACTGCTTCACGTCTGCTAGGAGATGCTGATGCTGGATTATTGCTGGTTAAACAGCTAGCTTATGAGAATGCTAACTCCCCCTGCCAAGCTGCTATCCGCCCTTTCAGAAAAAAGGGGGACCTGGGTGATTATATAAGGTTATGTGCGGACATTGGACCTGCCTATACTCAAGGGCTGGCCATGGCTGCGGCTTTGCAAGGAAAGACCGTAAGAGAGGTTCTTTTTCAACAAGTGCGTAAAGGGTCTCAGACGCGAGTTGCTGGACCCCCAGGAAGCTGTTACGGGTGTGGAAAGATTGGACATAGAGTTAAACAATGCCCAGAGAGAAAGGCCCCAATAAAAACTGCATCATCCTCCCCGAGAGAGCCAGGATTATGCCCAAAATGTAAAAGAGGGAATCATTGGGCAAATGAATGTAAATCAAAAAGGGATCATTTGGATAATGCACTGGAGCAGGAAAACTCCAGGCGGGGCTGGCCCCAGGCCCTGAAACAATGTTATGGGGCACTCCAGTCCTTCATTCCTCAACAAAACAATCCATTCAAGACCTCTTTAGAGCCACCCCAGGCAGCACAGGACTGGACCTCAGTTCCACCGCCTTCACAGTACTAACTCCTGAGATGGGGGTCCAGGCCCTCCCCACGGGGGTCTATGGGCCTCTACCTGAAGGCACCCTAGGTTTACTCCTGGGTCGAAGCAGCACGACCATTAAGGGAACTTTCATCGCCCCTGGAGTCATAGATCAGGATTATGAAGGAGAAATCAAAATTATGGTCCATTCTCCTGATACTATATCTACTATACCAGCTGGACAGCGCATAGCTCAGTTGCTTTTGATACCTTTAGTAAAAAAGGAAGGAAAAGTTAAAAACACTCATAGAGGCCAAAAGGGATTCGGCTCTTCAGATGCCTACTGGGTACAGCCTATAGGAGCCCATCGACCTGAGATTCATTTAAAAATCAACGGGAAAACTCTTTTCAGGTCTTCTTGATACTGGTGCTGATGTTTCAGTATTAACTGCTGAACAGTGGCTGGCTAAATGGCCCAAACAAGCCACTATGACGCACCTACAAGGGATTGGGCAGAATAAAAGTACCGAACAGAGCAATGATCTTTTACTATGGCAGGATCATGAGGGCCATCAAGGACATTTCCGCCCATTTATCATCCCTGGATTGCCTATAAATTTGTGGGGAAGGGATGTGATGAAAGATATGGGAGTTTATTTACATTCATCTAACCCACAAGTTATGCAACAATTATTTGACCAAGGTTTACTCCCTTATCAAGGACTTGGAGCACACAATCAGGGCCCCTCTTCCCCTTTGGAGATTGAACAAAAATTAGATAAAACAGGGATAGGATATTTTTGATGGGGGCTATTGACCTCCCTGTGCCCCACGCAGATCCCATCACATGGAAAACTAATGACCCTGTGTGGGTGGATCAATGGCCCTTAACCCAAGAAAAAATTCTCGTTGCAGAGCAGTTGGTACAGGAACAGCTCTGTGCTGGACATATTGAATCTTCTAATTCCCCAGGGAATTCTATTTTCGTAATTAAGAAAAAATCAGGAAAGTGGCGACTTTTACAGGCTTTGAGGGCGATTAACAAAACCATGGAAATTATGGGGCCCCTACAGCCCGGGCTTCCGATACTGTCAGCTGTCCCAGCACAAACTTTCAAGATAATTGTAGATTTGAAAGATTGCTTTTATACAATTCCTCTTGCCCCACAAGATTGTAGACATTTTGCTTTCAGTGTACCCTCAGTAAATTTTAAAAGACCCATGCAATGCTTTCAGTGGAAGGTCTTGCCACAGGGTATGGCCAATAGCCCCACCTTGTGTCAAAAGTTTGTAGCTCGGGCAATTCAGATAGGACAGATTACCCATCATTATATTTGGTCCATTATATGGATGACATCCTTTTAGCCTCTAGTAATGAACCCCTTTTACTATGCGCGTTTGCAGATCTACGCCAGGCCTTGGTAAAAAATGGATTAGTTGTGGCCCCTGAAAAAATCCAAACTCGACCTCCTTTCTCCTATCTTATACCCTAAGGTCATCCATCCTCAAAAATTTCAATTAAGAAAAGATGCTTTACGCACTTTAAATGATTATCAAAAATTGTTGGGAGATATAAATTGGCTGCGTCCATATCTAAAACTGTCCACGGGAGATTTGAAACCCCTTTTTGATGTTTTGAAAGGGGATCCCGACCCCTCTTCACCTCGACAACTCTCTGAACAGGCCAGAAAAGCTCTCCATAAGGTTGAGTCAGCTATTCAAGACTGGACTGTCCACTATTTTGATTATAGCCGCCCTTGGGCTGCTTATGTTTTGGCCACGCAGCATATGCCTACTGCTGTTCTTTGGCAGGATGGCCCACTCCTTTGCTTACATTTGCCTGTTTCCCCTGCTAAACTTTTATCTCCTTACTATGAATCTGTAGCCCAGCTTGTACAGCTCATAGGCGAGGAATCACGTAAATATTTTGGTGTTGAGCCTTCTTTAATACAGGTCCCTTTTACACAACAACAGATTGATTGGCTTTTTCATAATGTTGATTCTTGGGCCCTTGCCTTTGCCCACTTTAAAGGTTCTATTGGTAATCACCTCCCTCCAGATAAATTACTTCAATTTGCTAACATTCATTCGTTTTCCCAAAAATTATTCGTCACTCTCCCATCCCTCAAGCTAAGTCTATTTTCACTGATGGTTCATCCAACGGACGTGCAGTGTATGTTGTGGGAGACAATGATCATACTTTTTCTTTCACTCCCTCTTCCGCACAAGTGATAGAGCTTCGAGCCGTTGCCGTAGTTTTTGATCTCTTTCATAATGAATCTTTTAATCTATATACGGATAGCCAATATATTGCAAAGGCCATTCCTTTATTGGAGACGGTGTCTTTTATTGCTTCTGCCGCCACCCCCATCCAATCTCTTTTTGCACAGATTCAATGATTTTTACGTTCTAGTACGGAGCCATGCTATATTGGTCATGTACGCGCTCATTCTAATCTCCCTGGTGCTATATCAGCGGGGAATTGTCGGATCAGGCCACCAAAATTGTCACCCCTGCACAACTGCAATTGGCACAACAGCATCATGCTATTCATCATCAAAATAGTCGTAGCCTCCGCTACCAATTCGGCCTTACGCATGAGGCTGCTAGGCAAATTGTCAAACAGTGTGCTCATTGTCCACTTTCCTCTACTGTCCCCCATTATGGAGTTAATCCCCAAGGTCTTAAACCTAATCAATTATGGCAGATGGACGTCACTCATATTTCTGAGTTTGGAAAACAGAAATATGTTCATGTCAGCATTGATACTTTTTCAGGCTTCATTGTGGCTACCGCTCTTACAGGTGAAACTACAAGACATGTTATTTCCCATTGTTTACGCTGTTTTTCCGTGATCGGTCTACCCCAAATTATTAAAACAGATAATGGCTCTGGATATACCAGTAAACAGTTTTCTCAATTCTGCATGTGTCTACAAATTTCGCATAAAACTGGCAAACCCTATAATCCCCAGGGGCAGGGGATTGTTGAACGAGCTCATAATACCCTTAAACGTCAGTTTCAGAAAATAAAAAAGGGGGAGTTATACCCCTTGTCTCCTCAGAATCTTCTAAACCATACCCTTTTCATTTTAAATTTTCTTACTTTGGATGCACAGAAATTAACACCTGCTGATCGATTATGGCATCCAAGCAAAAAAACATCCTATGCACAAGTAAAATGGAAAGACCCCCTCACGGGCCGATGGAATGGTCCTGGTCCTGTACTAATCTGGGGACGAGGGCATGTCTGTGTTTTTCCACAGAATGAAGACAATGCGCGATGGTTACCGCAACAGCTCATGCGTCAGGCAGATGTCTCTTCAGCAGATTCTCCTCCTCCTCACGGCAATGGTCACAATGACTAGGTGACCATACCATGGGCCAGATGTAGAGTGGACCAGCCAGCCATCTATAACTTCACTGATCAACAAGAAGTGCTACAGGATTGGAGTGCCCAATTGGACAATTGTCAAGGTGGGGCGAACACAGAACAGCAGTTGACTGTGGGACTTTGGTGAGTGCCTTCCGGCCCTTTTCAGCCCATGATATGGAAACTTATGGTTGCTATGGGAGGAATAAAAAGGGTTGGTGTGGGACCAGACTCCGGGTTGGAGGGAAATATTACGGCTTGTGTGCCCCAGCCCTACTTACTGTTATTGGGAGGTTTTGAGGTTAATTAATAAAAATGGAACTCGTCAATTTAATGTAACATGTGATAATTGTACGTTGTCAAATTGTGTGAAATTCAGGTATCAAAATGTTTTCATAATTCATCAGCCCTCTTTTGTAATGTTGCCAGTTAATCTTTCAGAACCATGGTATGCAGAAAGAGGACTTCAAATATTAGAGAGTCTAAATGGTTTACTGAAAAGAGAAAAAAGGGTGGCCGGCATGACTGTAGCTAGAATTGTTACCTTTATAGCATTTTTGATTAGCTTATCTACTGCTGCGGTTGCTTTATCCCAGTTTGTGCAGACAGCAGCTTTTGTAGATAATCTTTCGATGAATGTATCACAAGCCTTAGAGTTGCAGGAAGATATTGATGTAAAAATGGAAGATAAGTTGAATGCTCTTTTTGACACGGTGATATACTTGGGACGCTCCCTTGAGGCTCTCAAACATAGAAACCGTTTACAGTGCCACGCAGAATATCGTTGGATCTGTGTCTCTTCACTAGCTTATAATATGACAGATTATAACTGGCAGATGGTCCAGGACTATCTAAAAGGGGCATGGTCACATGGCAATGAAACCTCCGACCTATTAAAGCTCCATCAGCAGATATTGAGCATTCAACAAGCGGGAGGAATAAGTCTGTCACCTGCACAGGTGGCACAGTCTCTTTATGATCATTTAAAAACATTGGTGCCTTCCTCATTCTCTGCCAAACAGATACTGACAGGCCTTGGACTACTGGCAGGCGGACTTCTGCTTATGTTTCTTTTTTTCATCATATTCAGCCAGTATGTTCGATCCATGTTCTTAACACTGGCTGTTCGATTACATTATCAAAAATTGTTCACCTCTAAGTAAGAGGCCGGTTAGTCAATGACGGGTTTGAGACCAGGAGAATCCCTTACCAACCTAAGACAGGGAAGGTTCTCTTCCCATTGACGGGTAAGGTGGGATTTTGTCCTGAGATCTCACCTAAGACAGGCACAGTCGTCTAATAAAAAAGGGAGAGATGTGGAGAGCGAAGGGTTGAAACAACCCTGAGCCTTTTGAGATTCTTGAGTCACATAAGAACATAATGACTGCTGGACAAGAAAGTAACATTCCCGGAATTGTAAAAATATAATTGACCTTTTCCCTGTAAAAATAATTAGTCACCTGGTCACGAGGGGAGGAGGGGAGGGAGGCTGTGGGTAATGAAAGAGGATATATAAAAGGCTCAATAAAGTGGGAAGGAGAAGGCTCTCCCTCTCCTCTCCTTTTCTTTTCTCCCGAATTTGTGTTCTTTTCTTAATCCTCACCCCTCTCCTTGGGTACTGTTCATCTAGTGACCGCTGGCTCTGTCACACCTATCCATGCAGAATTGACTAGTCAATTCTGAGTTTTGTATGTTACAGACTAAACCCTGGGGAAGTCTTCAGAATGTTCCATTCTTCACCAGTGAATACACTTTTTGGAATAATGGCCTTCTACAAAGACCCTGAAGCTAAACTGCTACAGACCGTCTTCCCCACTGCTCTTGCATTCCTTGTTTATAAGAAACTGATGCCTGCTACCTATACCAGTGTGGGACTGAAATGTGCACAGAAGCACTGAGACCCCACCCACAGGAAAGTGCAGAGATTCTCAAGACAGGGCCTTTCCTTCCAAGTGAAGAGAAGTGGTATTACCCTCACTGACAGGAAAACCTCTTTAGCGTAAACAAGGAGTACAGCCAGCTGGTCCTATTGCCAACATATTTGCAATGGCCAGTTGGATTTGGAAAAACTTTTCCACCTACAAGTTTTTCTTAAAATTATCAATGTTCTTTCCTTAAACTCCCAGGTTCTAGAATAAATTCAGTAACACATAATTCTCCTCAGATACTTTTATATGTCCTAATCTTGGTATTTCTCTCACTAAAAGTAGTAATTTCATAGTGCCACAGGTATGATTTTATTTTTGTTGGGCTTTCTTCCTCAAGCTTAAAGGGAATAAAGTGAACTATTTATTTTGTGGAGAAAATGAATATTATTAATCCCAAATCTCTTACAAACTATTTGCAAAATTACTAACTCATTAGTGTTGTAATTTTAAAATATTTATTTTGAATCAAATCTATTATTATGAAAGGCTTGGGGTTTTATGTTATCTGTACAAACCCCAATCAATGTACTCTAACTTACTGTACTCCAAAAAATTACCAACACAACCGAAAGAAAATAGAATGTCAGAGTCAGTATCAGAATGAGGTTCAGGGTAGCATTCAGTTTGAAGGTCAAAACAAGTTTTTTTGTTTTTTTCATTACTGGTCATTGGACCCAGCACCTTCACCCTGAACTACATTCTCATCCTCAGCCTGTTTTTCATTTTTTGAGTCTTGTTAACTTTGCTAAATTTCCCAGGTTGGGGTCGAATTTGTAATCCTCCTGTCTCAGTCTCCGAAAGTGCTGGGATTACAAGAGTGCTCCACCAATGCCTGGCCAGGAAATATGTTTTAAAATAATGTAATTCTCTGTTGCAAGTTTTTTTTCTCTCCAGAGTGACCCAATTTTATTTAGATTTTAGAGGCCAGATGGGGGTCTGCTCCACCCCACAGCTGTCAGGGCTGTATAGTCTTTCACTCACAGAGCCCTCCGGTGCACTGACATAGGCTCCAGAAGCAGTGGAACTTGATTTGGTGCAGAAAGAGCACTACCACACTTCTATTTTTTATTTTTTGGGGGGGTATCGGGGATCAAACTCAGGATCTTGCACTTGCGAGGCAGGTGGTAGAACCACTGAGCTAAATCCCTAGCCCTTCTATTCTTTATTTTATAAGTGTATTTCTTAATTTTCAAGCATATAGGAATTTATTATGATGTTCTTACTAGTTTCTAGCTTAATTACATTATAGTAAAAAATACTTTGTATTATTTTGATCCTTTGAAATTTGTTGAGACTTCTTATGGCCAGTATGTGGTCACTATATTATTTTTCATGCCTAAGAATATGTACCTTGAATTATTTGCTTTTGTTTCCTACCATGGCCAAATGTTCACAAATGCCTGATAGCCTGTAATTAATTACTCACTGACTTGACTTGACCGAACTTCAGTCAGGGTTCTCACCCTGCCTTAGGCCCCTAAGCTTCGGCACATGCTTAAGCTTGGACAAGCAGTGAGAGGTGGACCTGCTCCCTTAGGTTCTCATTCCAAGAATCTGAATACCAAATAAACATTCCCGTAAGTCCATTGCAATTATGCTGTCTGCTCACCCCGATGCTTGCTGCCCTCTCTGAAACTTTCTGCCCACCCTGCTCATCCCTCCATGAAAGCAATGCCCTTTTCCACTTGATTCTGAGATGGTTGTGGATCCTGAGGTCAGAGTGTTCTCATTATTGCAATAGTCTTTTCTAATACTTTCTCAACTCTGGATTTATTTTTGGCAAAATACAACCATTAGGTCAATCTCGTTCACCTTCTTGGTGAAATTGCCTGCCTTCCAACTGTCTTGGTATAGTGGGGCTATTTATGCTTCCAGCCCCTTTCTATTTTTTTATTTTGAGGCTTAATATCAGCTAAGTCACTAAGTTACCCAGATTGAGCTTGAACTTGCAGCCACCACACTTGGCTGTCCAACTGTATCTTAAACTCTTTCCAAACATATCAAGATCAGGCAGACACTCCCATCTGTGCAGATTTGAGAGCTATGAGAAATGAACTGAGCTTGACAGGAACATAAGCGTCTGCAGAAGATGTGGCTGGGTTAAAAACAAGACGCTGTAGGAGGCCAGACTATGGGTTTGCTCCTGACCAGAGGACAAATGAGAACGAAAGACAGAGTTAATTTGGAATGAGGGGACCAGGGGGGATCTCTGCCTGTAGTGGACAGGAACCCTGAACCGTTGGCTCACCTTGCTTTTATTCACTTAAACAAGGGAGGAAGCAATCAGGGTAACAGAAGATTCACCTGCTTGCTGTTATCTATAGCATATAACAGGTAAACAACCAGAGCTCAGCTGTATACTCTTCTCTAGGACTTGCAATGTATTAGTATTTGGCAAAGGAGGCACAGCTTGTTTTTCTCCTCTGTACTCAAAGAGAAGGTCAATTAGGCCTCAATCCTCATTAATTGGTCTCCTACAAGGGGCCACATGAAAACATCAGACTTTCCTGAAAGCAACTGGGCTTTTAGTTGTCTTCTCTTCCCACTAAGTGCTCAGTGGCCAATGGCTACAGCACTGTTAGTCACTTCCATTTCCTCAATGCTCATAAATTTATGCACATGAAGTCTAAAACAAACATTTTGAGAAAAAAGAACCACTAAGATTAAGCTTCTCCAGGCTGATCTAACCCTGAACCAGCAGCACTGTCTTAGTCATTATGTAAGCTTGCAGGACAACTCAGCATCTGGTAGTCAAGTCTTTCTACCAATTCCGCTTCTGCTTCCTCCTCTTGGTCCCTTGCATTTCCATGTATTTTTCAGCATCATCTAACTATCATGAAATAAGAATAAATGTTGTCAGTTAGGATTATACTGAGTTAAGCGACTTCCAGGTAGACCAGTTTCCTTATTTGCATGGCTGCTTTTGGCTCACCTTCACTTGCAGAGTGGACACTGCTAACTGTTCTGCTGCTGAGTCCTTAGCCTGCCCATCCCTGTCCATCTCCCTTCCAAATGAGCACTCAGTCATGCAAAGGACTCAGGAAATCCTCAGGGCAAAAGTGGCTGTGACCACCACTGAGGGCCATGAGACAATGGCACCTCTGCATTTTCCTTTTAGGAATGGAAGAGGAGACACACACAGAGCCACTTGAGGCTTTTATAAAAACCTCAAATAGGGAACCAGAAGACTCACCGAGTACAAACTAAACCAAACCTGCTTCCCACGGGAGTTTCCATCATGTAGACGTCTTCCCCTCCACACTTCCTCCAGATGGTTCTGACACAAATGTCCCTTGAGAAGGGGCAGGAGGCAGCGCAGCACTTCATGGTGGTCCCTGACTGGCAGCACAGATCCCTGCTTCCGACAGCTCAGTCCACAGGCCATGGGTCTCCTCCACTGGGCTGGCCATCCAAACTGGCTTGGCTGAGGTGTGCCTTCTGCCTCCCTGTGACCAGCCTCGAGGGAGTAAAGGAACAGGGCTAGGTATAGAGTGGGTCTGTGTGGCCCTGGACAAGCTTTTGAAGGTTGAGTCAGGCAGGAAGCAGAGGAACAAGATGTAAGGTGCACCTGGGGGCGGGCAGGCAGGACCAGGGCTAGTCCCTCACCCCTCTGGGATGAATGGCCGAATGAGCTCTGGGTTCAACAGGGACTCCTCCAGAGGCCGGTCCACGTGGAAGTCATGGATGTGGGGAGGCCCTGGGTGTGACTTGGGGACAGGTCCACCTGGGCGCTGGGGAACCGGCAGCTCTGATGGGTGGGCAGGCAAAGGAGCAGTGAAGAAGTACTGATGCAGGAGGGCCTGGGGTGGCAAAGAAGGGGTAGCAGTCAGTGCCCTGTCCCCAGCCTCAGGCAGAGGGTGAGGGGCTGACTCATGCACTCAGCTGACTCAGAAAACCCTTCCTGGGCGACCACACATCTGGAGTGCTGTTCCAGAGGCCAAGGACACAGAGGTAAACAAAACAGATGAAGAGAGGTTGGGGGTGGAGATACTAAGCCATAAAGGGGTACAACCCACAGTACGTCCTGTAATGATCAGTGCTGGACAAGATAGCAAGAAGAGAAAGAGGAACACTGGTTAGAGACTGCAGACTCGAAGAGAGGCTAATGAGTGGGTAGGAGACAGCCTGGGGAGCAGCACTCAAGGCCAGAAGCGCATGGGCCCCAGGGGAGGCCTGGGGCTGGAGAGGAGATGTGAGCATGGGAACAACAGCATACAGGGCCAGGAGGTAATGTGCCCAAGCCTGCAGCACCTGTGGCCCATGAGAAGGATCCTTGCTGTTCTGGTGAGTGAGGAGTCATGGAAAGGACTACAAAGGAAAGGCATGACCTGCTCTGCTGGACAAAGTCACTCTCTCTGCAGGTGGGTAAGACGATATGAGATGAGAGGAGACACAGGATCTAGGAGGCAACGCAGGAGAGAAGCAGTTGCCCCAGCCCACAGGAGCTGTTGACACTGAGAACCAAGGGCATCTGCACACACTGGCTGCTGGTGCCAAGTGCAGGAGGGAATGGGTGACCATTAGGCTAGATGGAGAAGTCCCTGTGGAAACAAGGCCTTGCTCCTGTGGTCCTTCCTGTCCTTTTCTGCCTTCCAGCGACAATTAGCCTGCCTGGACCCTCTCCTCCAGGCCACTGCTCACTACTTCTATCTTCACCAAACAGCTTTTCAAACTCCTTAAAACTTTGTGCTGGGCCCTGCCCTCCTTCTGGGAGCTGCTACCATTTAGTGGAGGTGGGGTGCTTAAGGGACAATACCTACGGCCTCTCACCCTACCTGGGATGCTGCGATGCGCTGGTGAGGAGGGTAGAGGAGGAAGTGGCCCAGCAGGTCCAAAGCCTGAGGAGAGGCATCGGGCAGCACCTCCTCCAGGGGCACTGGTGCCTGCTCCTTAAAGGAGATCTTCTTGTAGTCTGGCAGCTCTGTGATTTCCTACAGCAGGAAGAGGAGAAAGGCAGAGGGGAGCAGTTAGTGCCCTTGCTGCTCCCCTCTGGCCTCTCGGTGCCTTGCATGCTTGTACTTGTTCACTTCTTACACCTCACTTTCACCCCTCCAACACCTGCAACCTTTCTGGTGTTGACTCCATGCCCAGCTTGCTGAAACTATGTGTATGTGTACTGGGAGAGGACAGGACCAGGCCCTCTTGCCTCCAGTAGGGCAGGAGAGAACCAATGCTGGGCCAGGATGGTGGTTCCTGTTGGTCCAGGGGGGCTGGGGCCATGAGACATGGTACAGAGGAGGAAGCAGTTACTTTCTGGTGGGAATTAGAGTCCACCTTCCCCTACCCTTCCCACCAAGGGCCCCTACAAACCGGCCAGACTTGAGGGCTGGGGGTGCCCAAGATGCGCAGCACACAGCAAAGCTGTTCAATGTCATTCTCGCCCGGGAAAAGAGGGGACCCATTCAACAGCTCCCCCATGATGCAGCCCACAGCCCTGTGGATACAGAACCATCGTAGCCTGGGATCTCACCCGCAGGACATGGACTAACCTACACCAGCTCTGATACCTCAACCAGTGTTCAGAGGTTCATGTCTGGTGGTTCAGACCCCCAAAGTTCTCAGCCTAAGAACACAATGCAAACCCCCAACAGCTCCAAGACTTCTCAGTCTTCTGCTGTGGGATGCAAAGCTTGCCCTTCACTTCCTGGGGAAGACCCGTGAACAGCCTCACATCTCATACCCTTGGATACAACAAACTATCTATTCCCCAACAAAGGCTCAGAGGCTTCATACCCAGGGACATGATATTCTGACTCTGACTCAGACATATGTCCTCCTGGGTCTGATCCCTGCACATGCCAGCTTGGACAGTCCACACTCTTGAGCTTCAGCCCACCTCCTCTACTGGCCAAGAAGCTTCGTACTTGGGACAACCTTCCCCTAACCCTCACCCAGCTCAAAAATACATTAAAGCACGTCAATTCCATCAGGGAGGACCCCCTCCCCACATGGCCCACATCATCCTCGCCTACCCCTGGGAGTCTCACCATAGGTCGACACTTTGGTCATACTGTCGGGCACCATACAGTAGCTCTGGGGCACGGTACCACCTGAAGCAAGATGGTAAAGATCAAAGCCAAGCCACTGGTCTGACCCAGAAGTTCACCTCAGCCCCACCTCAACTCCACAAGCCATGTCTAGACAGAAGGCCCAGAAATATCTCTTCCCCAGTGAGGGGGCTGGTGGGAATCCAGCCCTCCCTACCTAGTGGCCACCTGGTGTGTGTAGAGGCGGCTGCCATCTGGAGAAAAGATCCGGGCCAGGCCAAAATCAGCTATCTTGAGCTGACCTGATGCGCTGATGAGCAGGTTGGCAGGCTTCAGATCCTGGGAGATGAAGGCAGCATTGGTCCCTCACCAAACCCCTCAGGACTCTGGGATGTGAGGAGGTGCAGGCTGACCACCAGAGTGAGTCTAGGCTCTGGCTCCCCTAGTGTCATACCCCTGGCTGCTCACCTGAAGTCCCTGATCCCTGTGACCACACCTTCAAGGGCTAGCCCACCCGGCCCACGCAGGGACTGACCCGGTGCACGATGTTGTTGGCATGGCAGAAGGTCACACCCTTGAGCAGCATCTGCAGGTAGCTCTTGACCTGGGCTGGGGCCAGCGGCCTCTGGGCATGGCGCACCACTTCAGCCAGGTCTGACAGCATGAATTCAAAGGCTAGTACAAAGCCCATGCCATGTGGGAACACAGCCTTCAGCTGCACCACCTGTGGGCAGACAACCTGTCAGTTGCCAGACTTACCTTGCCAGATATCTTCTCCAACCCCAGGGATCCTCAGCCCACTCCCTAACAGAGGACCAGGTTGGCAGAGATGGCAATGCAGGGGCTGTGCTTGGTGCTTATGCTACTTTGCTTTCCAGAAACAAGGCAGTTCTCCTCTCTGATTCTCTGCTAACACTCAAAGAGAAGGTCAGTTCTTGGATCTTGGAAAATCATCTGGAGACAAACAAGCAGATTGGGCCTGTTTCCTTCATAGTCATTAAATTCCAGCACCCCGGGAAGGGCACCAGGATCAAATCATCTCTGGAACTGGAATAGATGGAGACACAGCACACACACACACCCCATCAGTGTCAGAGGGCCCAGACTGCACAGGGCAGTGAGATCTCGGACAGGAGATAAGTGATTGACAAATAAGCAAAGAGGATATGCTCAGGTTCTGGCAAGTATAGGAATAGATATACAACAGGGCAATGTGATTTTTAAAAATATACATAGATATTTATTTTTCAGACAGGGTTTCACTATGTAGTTCAGTGTGGTCTTGAACTTACTATGTAGCCCAGACTGGCCTTGAATTTGTGGTGATCCTCCCAGCTTGGCCTTCTGAGTGCTGAGATTACAGGTGTGTGCCACTATGCCCAGTGAGCAATGTGATTTTGAGTGAGTGATAAAAGGGTTTATTGTACAAGATAGGGAAAGGTCAGTGGGAGATTTGGAGCACAGCCAGTTATATGGAAGTCTGAAATGTTCTGAGCAGGGGGAGCAGCAAGTGCAGGTCCTGAGGCTGGCACAGAGGCTAAAGGAACACAAGAATGGGATGTCTTTTAGGGGAAGGATGTGTCTGCTCTATTCTCCCAGAGCTTAGATTGGTGTTGGTCACCGAAGAGACAATAAGTCACCGTTTCTGGTAACAATGACTAGGGATCAGGAAAATCTGGAGGATGTTTTAAAAATGGAAACTTCAGGCCTGTTGCCCATGGGATTTGGGGCCATATTACCAGTCTCCTTATGGATTTCCCTCCGCCACCTCACATATGGACTGTCTGGAAGCCCTCTGTATGTGTCTCTGTCTCTGTGTGAATGGTACTGGGGACTGAGCCCAGGGCTTCAGTCAAGCCAACCAAGCATTCTACCACTGAGCTATATATATATCCCAGTCCCTGGAAACCCTTTTATTTTCCTCAAAAACTTGAATGCCTTATTGCCATTTTTCTAATTTTCTAGTAGTACACAATCACTTTATAAATCAAAACACATGCATACAGATAATATACAAAATTATACAGAAAAAAAACCTCATTGCCTGCAGTCAACCATGGACCATTTTCTATCAGACTTTCCAACACATCTGACATATATAGACTCACATAGATAATACATCTTCATACAACACCAAAATGACACATAAAGTTTCATAAGATGCTTCAATGAACATATGCCAGAGAATCACAGGGGCCAGAACCTCGTCAACTCTCCAGGGAGCTGATTATGTACTCTGACATGGAAAGGAGAAAGCACCATAAAGAATGATGCTGGGGGCGCAAGATGTCCCCACAGACCTTCCACGTCATGGCACACACCACAATACCCCCTGCCTCCCTTACCACACTTGAGTTTTCAGAAGATGGGTCAGGGCTGGTTTTTCCTTGCTCTGGCTGGGAGAAAGCACAGGGTAGAGCTCAAGGGGAAGCTCTAAGGGAAGACTGTCAGGACTCCTCAAGGGCAAGGATTCCACTGACTAGCTGAGGGCCCATGAGCTGTAACAGAACCTCTATCCCTTGAGAAACAAAGATCCCAAAACCTGCCTTGCAGGGTGGTAAAGAGGACTTAGGATGACAATGTACCTAAAGCATTTAACAGAGCCTCTGCAGAACACAGGAGTAGGTCAAAAATCACTGGAACTAGGGGTGTAACTCAGTGGTAGAGTGCTTACCTAGCATGCACAAGGCCCTGGGTTCCAACCCGGGCAAGAAAAAAGAAAAAAAAATCAATAAATGTTTTGATAAAAAACAGTAAGTTCAAAGAAAACAAAAAACAAAACACAAAAAACAGTAAGTTCATGAATAAATGAATGGATGGATGAGTACATGAAGAAATGAGTAAACAGAGTGAATAAGAAATGAAGTAATTAGGTAAATGAGAGTGAACATGAGGACAAAAGAGGGATAAAAATAAAGTAAAAGGAGGCAGATAAATGAACACTGGGTGAGGAAGGAAATCCCCAAAGGGATTTGCTGAATGGTGGGTCGGTAAAGGAAAGCAAGAGGAATAGGGAACATGTGAAAGAGGCCAGAAGGAGATGCCTCAGGCCTGCTGGTCCCCTCACCCACCCCAGCTCAGTCCAGCCCCCACTCACATACTGATTGTCCTCAATCTCCTGCAGAGACTTGATCTCCCGCAGGGCCTGGTTGGGGATACCGTCCTCCAGTCGCCGCAGTGCCACCTTCTTCAGGGCAACGATCTCGCCAGTCTGTGAAAGAGCGAGCTCAAGACTGCCTACTGCATTCCCCACCTTCCCCCTCCCTGGGGCTGGAGACCAGAGAGAAAGGGCCCCAGGTCAGGAGAGATCAAGGCCCTCCTGGCGAGAGCGTAATCCTACAGGGCGGCATATAGCGGATCCGGGACCGCGGTGGGATGGGGTGGTGGCCCAAAAGAGGTCAGAAAGCTGTCCTGCGGCGGCAGCACGAGGTGTGGGGCAGAGGTCAGACCGCTCCCCAGGCGGCCCGCGCAGCCCGGTCTCACCTCCACATGCTTAGCCTTGAAGACGATGCCGTGGGCGCCCTCCCCTATGCGGCCCAGAATGCAGTACTGGTCCATCTGCAACCAAGAACCCTTTCTAGGTCCCCGCAGCTTCGGACGCCACCGCTGTTGCCTAGCAACAAAGCAGCCTGCGGGAGGCAGGGCCTCTGGAGACACGTGACCCGAAGGACTGAAACTGCGTTCAGTCAGGGATTGTCATTCGGGCTTGTCCGACCCTTTCCTTAGGCCTCCACTATCACGAAGCTGTGAGCCTAATTTCACACGTGAAGAGCTCGCCAGAGAAGAGGAAAGAAAAAGCAATGGTCGCTCTTCCAACCTCCCTAAACCACCCGGACGCTACGCAATGACGGAGGCCGCGGCGTGCGTGCGTCAGAAGGGTGGGGCCATGCCGACGAGGGCGGGGCTGGGGTGAGAAGGCGGGGCCTCGGGCGAGGAGGAGGGGCGGGAAAACTTCCTACCTGGTACCCAGAACCGGTGATGAAGGTAAGGCAGGCCTGGCACAGAGGCTTGCAGAGAGGGTCCGTTGGGCCTCCCCTCCTGGAAGATTCAGTTACATTTACAGTACTCACAGCTTTTAAAAAGGCCACACTTGTAATTTCAGGAGCTGTGGCCGCTCACGTTGGCTAGCCTGAGATACGTGCTGCACAGCCGCGCAGGTCCTGAGAAGCCGGACCCATGTGGAAGCTGCTCCCTGTCCCAGGCCCGGCTCGAGGAGAATCATATAGACTTTTGACTGATGTTGAGTATGTTGTTGGAAGGAAAAACTGTGCCGTTTTAATTAACGATGATCAGTCCATCTGTCGAAATCATGCTGTTATCTGCTAACTTTTCTGTAACTAACTTGGCATAGAAAAACATTGAAATTTCTACACAGAAAGTAAACTTTACTATAAAACAGAAACTCTAACCAAAACTTAATTCTTTTTGGACTAGTATTTAAGATGTCACATTCATGATTTAAAGAGGAAAAGCACCAAACAGGTGAAATTCCTACTTTAATAATAAAAGATAATTCTAAGTATGCTACTTTTGTTAATGAGGAAAAAATGCAGAATGGCCTTTCTTGAACTTTGAAGACAGGGGATAGAGTTACCTCTGGAGTGTCTGAAAGTAAATTCAGAGTAGAATATGACCCTTTGGTTGAGTGCTCCTCTTGTTTAGATGTCTCTGGGAAAACTGCTTTATATCAAGCTATATTACAACTTGGAGGACTTACAGTAAACAACTGGACAGAAGAATGTTATGGTATCAGTTAAAGTTACCATTAAAACAATATCTGCACTCATTTGCGAACGTCTGATTATAAAGCCAGAATATTTTACTGAAATTTGTTAAAGCAGTTTAATCCAAGAAACAGCCTCCACAAATTCAAAGATTTTACCTACCTGTTGATGAACCAGCCATTGGAAGTAAAAATATTGATCTGTCAGGATGACAGGAAAGAAAACAAATCTTCAAAGGGAAAACATTTGTATTTTTAAATGCCAAACAGCATAAGAAATTAAGTTCAGCAGTTGTTTTTGGAAGTGGAGAAGCTAGGTTGATAACCAAAGAAAGTGAAGAAGATAGGTTTGTTCTTTTTTTCAACTTCTGGAACTTGTGTTGTTGACACAGGAATAACAAATACAGACCTTAATTCCCGACTCCCAGAAAAAATGGATTCACTTAATTATGGATATACTCCAAAGGCAGGGTCTTAGACCTATTCCTGAAGCAGGAATTGGATTGGCAGTTATTTTCCTGACTACAGAGAATTATTGTGATCCTCAGGGCCAGCCCAGCACAGGATTAAAGACAGAGACTCCAGGGCCAAGCCTTTCACAAGACTGATCAGTCAGTGAAAAACTCATGTCAAATGTTCCTGAGAACACTGCAACATATGGAGCTGACACAGAATCGGACCAGGCACATACATGTATGTATTTGTCTTAAAAACCAAAAGAAATAAAAATCTCCAAAATGGAACAAAAATGTGGATCATCTTCACAAGAAATACCCATTATAAAAGAAGCCCCCCAAAACAAGCTCCAAAAATAACATAGCATCAAATACTCTGGTTAGGGCAAATATCCAAAACTATCAGCTTTCACCAACTAATTTCCCAAGTGTAAATAAAAGTAGAGATCGGGCTTCTCAGCAGCAACAGACAAATACCATTAGAAACTACTTTCAGCCATCTCCCCCCAAAAGGGAAAGGAATGAAGAAAACCAAGAAATGTCTTCATCCAAATCAGCGAGAATAGAAATGTCTTGTTCTCTTAAAAGAGAACAAACACAACCTGGTATAACCTATGGAAAAACAAAGAGCAAAATCAATCTCAGAATGAACCTATGGACACAAAATCAGAAAACTTATTTACAGATGATGAAGATTTAAAATCCAGTGTGAAAAACTCTTGACAGTAAAATCTGTTTCTGCAGAAAGACTAAGATAAAAAAAAAAAGACAAATTGATTTGGCCATAGAAGATGAACTATTGGAGCAGTTATTCAAGAACACAAGACAGAGTTAGAAATTGAAGTGAAAGTTGAAAAACAAGATGTCAACATTAGAAAAAAGCCAAGATTGGATATAGAAACAAATAAAATTTTGATGATAAAATAATATCAGAAAGTGACAAAATACCTCAAGAAAGTGAAGTTGGGAAGAAATGTGAGCTCAACAAAGAATCACTGTGGTCAACAAAAGAAATATCTAATAATGATGAACTTCAGAACAGCAGTGAGATGCTTCCAAAAAAGTTGTTAATGACTGAATTTAGATCACTAGTAGTTAATAACTCCACTTACAGAAATCTATATGGGGTAAATAAGGATCATGGTCATCAACTAAAGAATTTCAAGAAATTCAAAAAGGTCACATTTCCTGGAGCAGGTAAACTTCCGCACATCATTGGAGGATCAGATCTCATCATGCTGGGAAGAACAAAGAATTAGAAGAGTGGTTGAGACCAGAAATGGAGGTACAAAAGCAACATGCAAAAAGGAGAGGCTCTTGCTGATGATCTCTTTAGGTATAATACTGATGTTAAAAGGAGAAGATAATTGAGAACTTTAAAAAGAAATTATGAGGGCCGGGGATTTAGCTCAGTGGTTTTGGTGCCTGCTGCACAAGCACAAGGACCCAAGTTCAATCCCTGGTACCAATAAATAAATAAAATGATTTTTTTAAAAAAAGAAATTATGAGCTACTGCCTGCCTCCCAAAAGCAAGGTCCTGAGTTTGATCCCCGGTACAAAAAAACACACAAAAAAACGGAAATTATGAAAACAAGCTTCCCAGCAAGCATTTACTTCAGGCTGAGATACATGAATACACTGTATGGAAGAGATTTGTTTTTGTGGCCTAAATTTGTTAAATAAAATTCACAAAACTGTTAAAAAAAGGGGGGGGCACACTAGCTGGGTGTGGTGGCTCATGACTGTGATCGCAGCGCTCTGGGAGGCAAAGGCTGGAAAAATCGCAAGTTTGAGTCCAGCCTAGGCAACTTAGAAACTTGGCAAGACCTTGTCTTAAAGTAAAGAATAATAGGGCCGGAGATTTAGCTCAGTGGTTTCGCCACCTGCTGCGCAAGTGCAAGGACCTGAGTTTGATCCCCGGCACCTAAAAACAAAAACAAAAACAAAAGTAAAGAATAATAAAAGGGTAGAAATGTAGCTCAAAGTGAAGGCTGTAGGTTAGTCCCCAGACACCACCCACTAAAACAATGGAATGTGATTTGCTTTGAGCAAGATTCCATACACACAACAAATGAATGTTTTCTCAATGCAAGACTTTAATGCAAGAAAATAGTTTCTTTTCTTTCCTGAGACAGGGTCTCACTGTGTAGTCCAGACTGGTCTCCAACTTTCCATACTCCTGCCCTAGCCTCCCAAGCACTGGTATTACAGGTGTGCGCTGCCACATCTGGCTTGAGTTGATTTTTTAAAATTATGTTTAAAAGGATTAACCATAATTAGATTCTTAGAGAAGCTAGCCAACTCTGGATACTCGGATACTCACACTTTCCAGGAGACAATCTCTAGGTGTTGCTACTAACTACATACAATAAGACACTAATGAAATATGCAGATTCTAACAATGTCAGCTAAAGTGGAACAGAGACCCTAAAAACACCTCAAGGGCTGTCTTCATCTGGGATTTTAGGTTACTTGAGATGATTCCTTGGTGCGCCTTCTCACTGAATGCCTGTTCTCATTCATCATCCACAGTTCTACCTTCCTCATCCTCTGATCTCTCTCAAAGCCCTCAATGTATCTCTACCTCCACTGCCATCATCTTTTTTGTGAGCACAACGGCATCAGCCCCACCAACAGACCAGTGGCCTGGTGGGAACCTGTGTGATATAAATGGCATTTCAATAATTTGATGGACTGGGAGTGTTGCTCAGTGGTAGAGAACTTCCCTAGCATGTTCAAGGCTCTGGTTCCATCCCCAGCACCACAAAAACAAAATCATTTGGCACAGAATAATAAATGGTGGGAAGTCAATTATATAGCCATTAACAAAACAAAATCATAACAACCACCGCCACCACAACAAAAGTGTATCTTGTGTGCATACCATTACTAAAATGAGTTCCACATGGGCAAACTTTAGAAAAAGTATTCTCTATTCTAAAAATTTTGTGGTGGGGAAAAGCCACCCCAAAAGTCTAATTTAGACTTTAAAAACATAGGTTTGAGACTTTTTGGCTTTATTTGAGTTTTGTTATAATACTACATGTAGTTGTTTATAGAAGTGGAATGTTTTTCCAAGACTTAAAAAAAGAAATATCAGTGTTTGATCTCACCCCTCCACACTCATAATTCCTATTTCCTGAGAACATAAATCTTTTAGAGGTTTAGTATGATTTTATACCTACATTTATAAATGATATGTTTATAATGTTTTTGGTTCTTAATTTTATATATTGTCCACTGAGTTATTATAGTGAGTGAAAATTTGATTCTCTTGACTCTTCCTCAATATTTACTTTTCCCATCTCTCATTAGAAAACATTTCTGTATAAATCAGTGTTTATATTAGTACGATCCTATTATAGTCACAGAATATGAGTATATTCACAATGTGTCCCTATTATGTTCTACTTCTGGTACACTTTCTTAATGAAGAAAAGTAAAAAAAGACTTCATTTTGGATATATACTTTATATACCTAAATCATTTATGGATTCTCCAAACCTCTGATTAACATAGAAACCAAAGATATATCAGTTATCCACTAGTTTCCTCTCCAACCTTCCTTCCTTTTTCCTTTCTTCTGAGATGTTTCCCTAGAGGTCTCAGCTCTCTCCTGCCTTATAGTCTGTATTAGCTGATTTAAAAAAAAAAAAACTTTGTTTCCCATTATCATCTTGGATTTTCTTGTAAACAATGCCAGGACTTTCTTT